GAGAGGACAAAACATGAGGGTGACAGGACTGGACAGGGAGGCATCCAAATCATGACTAAGAAAGGTGGGAAAAAACCCTTTTCTTCATCATTTGAGATTTACTGGTTTAGTTACCTGCATTTCTTGGGTACTGGAAAGCTCTAGTTCAAGGGTGTATTATGATGCTGAGCTCCAAAAACAATCTCTCTTGGGATTCTGAGCCTCAGAGCTTGTTTCTAACAGCATCAGGTAGCCTAATAAAAGCTACTGCTTGTTTCTACAAGCCTTGCCTCTCACCTATCTCTAAGCCATCGCTGCCACAATGCACCTTCTCTTCCTCTTTTATCCCACCACATTAAATGATGTAAATAAAGCAGTTCCCCTGTGCTTCATCCAGTAATAGCCTAACTGTATATCCTGCTGCTAGCACTTAGGAAAACAATCAATGCCACCTTGGGAACTTGCCACCGTTGTTTTTTCCAAAGGCTTAATGTCAGCAGCACAATCAAATGCCCCCCAAATAAGCTTTGAGGTCCTGTCATTAAACAGCAAAGTAAGACATTGTGTTTTCTGGCAGGTTCTCTTTCTGTCAGGACAGCAGCTCCCTGTGCACAGGTATGGAGGTGACAAATGCCTTGTAAAAGCCTGAAGTGGTTTAGGTGGATTAAATGCTCAGAGGAGTGTTTAATATTTTATTGCTGTAGGGTTTTATTACGCCGAGCTCGAGTTCACTCGGTGTCCGGGAGACGGGCCTTCCTCAGACATGGAATATCATTAAGGGTCTGGCAGTTTTGTCAGGCTGGGAATTTCAGGTGTGCTGAGGAAGATGGCAGGAAATAAATATGAGTTCTTTGCAATTCAGCTGTCAGTCCTGGGCTGCCTCACAGCTAGAGGTCAGCGCCCAAGTGCAGTGCCTGGTGTGTGGCTGGGGGAAATCCCTCTCTCAGCTGCACTGAGCAGATGTTCCTCACTTGAAGAGAGGGGGAAGGGGATGTGCCTTCATCTTTTAACGCTAAAAAACTTCTTTAACATTGTTTTGTGCAGGCAGCAATATTAAAGTCAGCACGAACAAAAAACCTCTGTTGGCTTCGGTCCATTTTCTCCTGAAGTAAAACAGATTCAAGGTCACCTTTTGCTTCAGCAGCAGGCTCGGGATGCATCAGTCGATCAAAATACCACAGGAAGTAATGGAACCATTACCTCGAGTGTGGTTTCATTGACCAGCCCTTGGAAATAGCTGAAAACCCAGTGGTTAACCCAGCATGTAATGAATGGGCAAGTGAAAGCCACGAGCAGGAAGGAACTGGTGCCACTCACACGTGTTTCCGAAACAAATGATCCGCAGACAATCCCAGCCCTGTTCATTGTACACTTCAAACAGATTTGACCTGCAGGGGATGGTCCAGGTCCAGCACCTCTGCCCTAGGGGTGGGATGCAGGGTGACCTCTGAGTCCCAGCTCCCCATTTCCAGGCTCTGCAGCCTTCCTGGGGAACTGGGAGATTGAGAGACTTAACTGCAACTCCTAATCTAAAAAGTGCTTTTGATAAATCTACATATCTGCCTGATCCAGAAACGTTACTGAACCTTAAATCCAGCTCATTAGCCTATAGCATAAGCAGCCTATTTATTCTTGAAGAGAGCACTTAATGATCTATGTATATTATACTTGTGCATTTGTACAAGATTAAAGTCTATTTCTCTCTACATAGGTGCATGTGTATGTATAAGGACTCTGAAATTCAATGTACATAGGAGGTTATTAAAAGAGGAATTAAACCTGCTTTCTGGGAGGCAATTACATTATTGATGCCTATAACTAATTAAACACTGAGGATCATTGGCAGGTTCTGTTAATCATGTGGACTGGAGATGCTCTACTTCCACCTTTTTAAGGGGCATCAGCATTTTAAACAGAAGGTGGCCCCCCAGGGAATGATTCAAATGAACATCCCGGTTCGAAGGGAAGAGAAAATGTAAATCTGAGCAGAGATCCAGGGAAAAATGAGGTGTAAGGGCTACAAGCTTCCTCAGCTGCCTATTTTCCCCTTTGAAGGCAAATTTTGGGGTGGACATGTTTGCATAAGAACTGGTATTCTCCTCTTGAGGCAGGTAAGCATTTAAATGGCACAGCAGAGGAATGGGGCACAGAATGAGGAGGCTCCAAAAGTCTTGTCAGGTGCAGACAGGGTTTTCCTTTTATTTCTTCACATCTGACACTAAATCCACGGCATCTGCCAGGCCCATCATGAGGGCAGGTATTTAATGTCTACTTTAGGAGCTGTGTGATGTTCAGAGTGGTTTTGAAATACCTCAGTCGACTCAGCATTTCTTCCTGAGAGGTGAGTTGAGCTTTAAAATGGAGGTGCAGTTCTCTGAGGTGTACAGGGGTGTAAGAGCACCCTCCAGGTTCATCCAAACACAGGATTTATCTGCAAAAGGTAATTTTTTTCAAAGATTAGCAAATTCAGGGAGTCATTTAAGCAGTTTAGAGGTTGATTTTCCTGTTTTTATGGGTTTTGAAGATATTGATAAAGTTTCTTAATTTTTTTTTTCTTCAACCTCTCTCCTGTAGCTCATTTAAATTGCTGAAATTTATCTTCAGGTTTCCAAGCTGCCATTTAGTGGTTTTCCTCTCCTGCTTCCTTCCCTTCAGGTTTCAATAACAAGACCCATCCTGCCACTGGACACACAGCAGTGTAGCCTGGGTGTTCCTCTCCTGCACCTGCACCTGCACTGGCTGTCACTGCCCACAGGAACTATTTCTGATTAAAGATCAAAACCCACTCAGCCCCTGAGCACTCTCTGCTAAATGCATTTTAATGCACGTGATGCATTTTAACAGTATTTCTGCAAACAGTTTTCATCTTCTACACAAACCATGCCCTGGTGATTTTCCACATGACCTCAAGGGCTCCCCCTTCCACAGTCATCCAAGGAAAAATGATTCCTGAGCAATCCTGATAGATAAGGCAGCCAGAAGGATGATTCAGGGCATTAGGCACGGTCTGTTCTCCAGCTGTGTACACCTTCAAGAACTGGCTGACTGAAAACGTTGCAACAAAGAGTTTTTCTGTTGAAAAAAAAAGAAAAAAGACATTTAAATGCTGGTTTTGAGAGGGCTTTTCCATCAAAACCTGATTTCTTTTTTTGGAGTTCAAATAATAAATCAAAAAAACAGTTTGGAAAATTCAGAGGTTAAAAAAAAGTCCAGCAAGATGGATGGAGACTGTACTGAAGTTAAATAGCACAGGTCTTGTGTGCAGCCTTCTTCTCCTGCCAGAGAAAGGAGTTCCTTTTAGACCAATAGATATCTATGACTTCTGTTTTCATCTCTACCACCTCCTTCTTTGTGACATGGAGCAAAATGCTTTCAGCATCAAGGGACTGCTTTTTTATGTCTGCAAAAGAGTGATGTAATATTCACCTCCCTGTAAGTACCAACCCAATCCTATATTTAGTTTCTAAAGTTTGTGTTTCACATCTCAGCTGAAGACATTCCTTTTCTTTCCAGAGTCCTGCTTGAAGACTTGAAGGAAAAATTAATGGCCCAGATCCCTTGGGAACATTTTCCACAAGGACATGTAACATTATACTGTATAACTTGCATTATCTGGCACTCCTTCCTGGGCTGTGGGTGGTTTAGGTGGACAATTCCCTTTTCATGGGTTTAACTTTTGCTTTGAATGTGTTGTGTAGGCATCTAAGGCTGTAACTAAATTAATACCATCAAAGGCAATTCTGATTTTTCCAAACACACAGAGCCCAGAAGCAAAAAAACCCAGAATATGTCTTTCTCCGACAGCACTTCTAGGGGCCTTCATTGTCTTTATGGGCCAATTTTTTTTTAATTTACTTTTTTTGACTGGTTCAAAGAGCTGGAGGAACCAGAAGCACATCACTTTCAACACCACCCGTGAGTTGTCATCAAGGTAGGGAGAAGAAAGTAAAAAAAAAAGCCCTAATGCAGCAGTTATTCCTAAATTTACCCGAGGCAAATCAGTCCTTGGCGTGCATTTTTGTCCAGGCTTGTAGGTATCTGTGCAGGCTTGTGGGAGGGACCCGTGGCTTCTTCCAAGGTGTGCTGTACACCTTGGACACCCTTTTCATGTTAAACTATTGCCCCTAAACCCCCCAGTGATATCTGGCTGAGATTGTCAGTGTGGAACACAATGGCAACACTGTCCTTCTAATCAGGAGAGAGTCTCATAGAGGATTATTTCCTAACAGTGACCTTACTCCTGGATTCAAAAAGCAGGAGCTGTGGAACTCTGCCAGCTCTTTTCTTTGTCGTCCTTGGGAGTTTTGGAGCTGGTAGAGTAAAGCTTTGATGTTGATTGGAATACTTGACTTTCCTGTACCTGTCTTATATCATAATTATACTTTTGTATTTGATCAAAAGGGGGAATCTACGTTGAAGAGCTACAACAAGTACCTCCTAGCTGGATTTAGAACAAAAATAACAATCAGGTGTTTTCCCAGGGCTGTAGCACTTAAAAAGTAAGTCCCACTCCAAGTCTCAAGTTTAGCTTTTGTTGTAAGAACAACTGTAATGACCTGTTTTAATACAATATTATAACAGATGAAAAGCTCAGACTTTCTGAATTTCAACATAGCTGCAATCTCGAAGTTAAGAAATGATTAGCCCTGCAATTAGGTACCTTTAATTGAATCCCTGACACTTGCTTAATTATAGCAGCGCTGCAGACACACTATGAGAAGCAGTGAAATCAGCTCTGACACACCCCTCCTGGGCTTCCATTGGCTGCAAACTCGTTAGGCTTGATGGGTAGGCACTGGAGTCAGAGGGGATTTCAAGGCAAATAAATAGCAGGTCCTTCCAGCCAGCCAGAAATGGATTTCCACCTCTCTGAACCTGGGATGAGAGGGAGCTGCTGCTGAGAAAACTCAACCCGCTGCACCCAACATTCCCTCTCGTGCTTGGTGTGGCTTCTGTGAACAAAGTGATTTTTGGAAGACCTTCCAGGCCGCTGTGCTGGAGCTGTGTTTCCCGGGAGCAGCATGGCTTGCTGTGTGCTGCAGATCACCGGCCTCATCTTCGGGGGCATCGGCATGGTGGGGACCTTGGCAGCCACGGTCATGCCCCAGTGGAGGGTTTCTGCCTACCTGGATGGCAACATCGTGGTGTTCGAGACCATCTGGGAAGGGCTGTGGATGGACTGCATCAGCCAGCTGGGCCTCAGGCTGCAGTGCAAGTTCTACGACTCTTTCCTGGCTCTCCCCCCACCCTTGGAGGCGTTCAGGGCCCTCATGTGCATCGCCGTGGTCCTGTCAGTCCTCTCCTTTCTGATGGCCATTGTTGGTGTGAAGTACACTCAGAGGACCAAGGAGGATCCCCAGGGCATCAGTATCTTCATCCTGGCAGCTGGAGTTGCCTTTCTCCTGACGGGCGCCCTCGTTCTGATCCCCGTGTCCTGGACCGGAGGGAGCATCATCCGCGATTTCTACGATCCAGAAGTCCCCGTGCCACTGAAACGGGAACTGGGAGCTGCTCTCTACGTGGGCTGGGTGAGCACCGCCCTCCTCATCGCTGCTGGAGCAATGTACTGTCACTTCTGGTGCTGGGCTGACACATCCACAAAATCCAGGTATCCGTCGCTTTCCCGTCCCAGCCTGCGCAAACCGGGCGCTGCCAGAGGACCATCCCTGGGTGTCCATGCCTACGTGTGATCATGGAGTCACAGGATGGTGTGGGTTGGAAGGAACCCTAAAGATCATCCAGTCCCAAGGGCAGGGACATCTTCCACTGGATCAGGTGGCTCCAAGCCCTGTCCAGCCTGACCTTGAACTTCCAGGGATGGGGCATCCTGTGGTCTCCCTGCTCAGCAGGTTGACATGTGCTGATTGACTTGATAATTAAACTGCAGGTCTGTAATGTAGGGGCACTTCTGTCCCTTTGCTGTTGACATGGATTTCTGCTCTCTAACACACCTACAGGAAATGTTCTTCCACGTGTGTTTGTTAGAGCACAGCCAGAGAAAAATCTCACCCTTTTTTGGGGGAATGAAGGATGGCAGGGGAACAGCAGCAGTCAGGAGGCTCTCAGAGAAGATGAGCAGCACATGGCTGGGCTGGAGGGGAGACAGCTGCTGTGCAACAGCACCATTGCCCTCCCCTAAAAACCCCTGATGTGCAAAGGGAGCAGTGCATTTCCCTCCAGGTAAAGTCTTCCCAAGGACTGCTCTAGGATACAGAGGTGAGGAGTGTGGCGAGAGTGGAGTTGGCAGCACGGCTGAGGCAGCTGCTGAATGAACAGAAGAGCCTCCAGCAATCCAGCTTCCAATACTGCCACACAGATGTTTGTGCTATCCCATCAGAAGCCTCTGTGATTGATTGGATTTCAATGGTGCTTGTGGAGTTGCTGCATCCTCCTCCTCTCTTGTGCAGAGCACAGAATAGTAAAATTTTTAATTCCTTCACCAAAACTTGCCATCAATGTATTGACTTTTTGTTGCTTGCTACCTCTCCTCTTTCCTGGCTTCTCCTTTTCTATAGGCAGCACCTACTCCTCTGTAAAATTCAGGCCAGACCATCTATCTTTATGCCCTTCAGAGCACTGTGCTAATGTAAAGTATAATTAAACAAGCCAGGCAGTGCAAATGTGCCATCCCCACCTGCCTGTTGGAGCATCAAGAGTTCCTGCCTACGACTTCCCTCACACCCACCAAAGCCAAGCCCTGACATTGCTCTGACTGTTTGGAGCTCTCCAGGCTGATTTGGAAATGCAGACTGAGCAGCCTGGTGCCTGTCTGTCCACCGTGCAGGATCCAACAGCAGCTGCAGTTGTGCATCTTTTTATTCCCAGCTGAATATCTGGGCTCTGATTTTGACAGTTTCCACATCGTGACCCTGAGAAGGGACCAAAGAAGGTCTGGTTCAAAATGTTTTTTTTTTTTTTCTGGTTCTTTTCACAGCAGTAATGGATGGCACCATTTAATGGATAATTTTATGGCACAGGTGCTCAGCTTGATTCTTTTCTGTCTGTGACTGGCATCTGAAGAAAGGGTGTAATGACTTTTTGAGTTGAGCAGAGCAGTGCCTTTCCGTATTCCTTTGGCTGCTCAGTTTGAAAGAGAACATGGAGAGCTGCATTTAATTAAACAAACCTTTTATTAACTTGACTCCAGATGAACCGAAATGAAACAGTGCCATTGTACACAGACATTCATTACATATATTAACCAAGGTGCATTTGCATTTAAGACAAGCAGCTCAGATCTTATAGTGGGAATTATCTAGGCACCAGAAAACAGGTTTAATGTATCCAGCTCATCATTTGAGCAGTCAAATCAGCACTTACTAATTCTAGATGAAAATTTAAGAAAACAGTTGTAAATGGGTTTTCTTAGTGCTAAACCATGTATTTTTTATGTTGTCTTGGAGCTGCTGAAGTCTGTCACAGCAGGTGCCATTGACAGCTGCTTTCAGGGGAGTCATTCTGTTGACTTTGGTAATAATTTATACTACCCTGAGAACCTCCACCTCTTATTTTACTGTATTTTTGTCCTATAATACGTATTTTGTTTAATACAGAACTATTTGGTGAGTAAGCCAGAATTGCACATTTTGGATTAATTTAGACATGACATTTGTGATTAACAAAGCAGAGGATGAAGACATTTGCAATGCAGATTTGATACATATTTATATGTAGGTAATGGATTTAAATGATGATGTATTCAGTGTAATGCAACTTTATGCAGATGTAAGTGCTTAAGAAGTAATTAAGTACATTTTTCTATAACATTAATTAGAAGATCCTGAATGCTTACACCATCAGTGGGCTCATCTAGAAATCAAATTTGAACTCCATTTACACCAGTAACTTTATTTTCAAAGAGTAGAAAGATAAAACTGTTTTATTGGAGCATTTAACATTAGTTTCAAAGAAAACCTAAGCTTTTTATGTTTAACATTAACATGCAATGACTTCATATTGCCCCATTTCTCCCTTTTACCAGTTGATCAAAAGAGGAACTCAAAATCTCGAAGCTCAGACAACCTTGTGCTTGTGAGTGGGCTGGGAATCCAACGTGGATTCCAAGCATGGAGCCAGGCTGGGGTTTTAGGGACACAAACAGCAATTTCAGGTGATGTGACTGAGCATTTTAGACTCACAGGAATATGTTTAAGAGTCTGTGACATTAACATTTCTGAATTTGATGCAGAAAGATCTCATGACAAACTGCTCTGCAAGAGATGCAACATGGTGGTTGCCTCATCCCTTCAAACAGAGCTGAAATTCTGAAACTATTGTGGATTCTGGTGGGGAAAAGCCCACAAAGAGGATTCCTACATATTTTACCTCTGTATGCAGGGAGTGCATTTGGCTGAGGAATCTGAAGGGGTGCCTTTGTGTCTGCTGAGGGAGACAGAATTTTTTCATCTTCCTTTCCCCTCTTCAGAGCCTTTGATGTTCTGAACTGACTCGCTGGAAGTTTGGAAGTGTGAGCAGGAAAAGGAAGTTTTAAGAATTAACAAAAACCTGCAGTGGAACTTTAAAACTAAATTGCTGCTGTTGATGAGTTTTCTGGGGGTACACAGGGAAAGTTTGGCTTGAGAGGAGTGATGGAGGAGCCTGCACACACCTCTAGTGCCCGAGGCTGCACCTTCTACCCTCCACCTGCTGCTCCAGAAACATTTGGCTCCTTCTGGGTTACACCCAGTCTGACTTGGTCTCAGGTAACCACGAGGGTCTAAGGTGATTTTTGGAGCTTATTTAGGTGGCTGAACATTTCCTGATGGAGTGAGGTAGGTGAGGAGGGGATGCTCAGGAGCAGGTGTGGTGCAGCAAAGACATTTGGGGAGAGGGTCGTGGAGCCAGTGTTGGTCACACAGTGTGTGATGGAGGGCTGGGAGGAAACAGGGCGTGAATAATCACTCCTGACTGGACTTTTCTCTCTGGGAAAAAAAAGTCCTGACACGTGGGTGTCACTTGTTGTGGATGGGTCGGGGATTGCTAAAATGTTGTGTCAGGCTTTTCGTGTGCTGGAACTCTGCTGTCACTGAGGAGGGGAGGCTCTGGTGCTGCTGTGCTCACAGTCCTCCAGGCACAGCTGTCAGAGACTTCAGGCTTGCTGCATTTGTTTTAAACTGCTGATTAAATATTGTGGTTAAATCTCCAGTTGAATATCCTGATGCTCTTATATACCTTAATATTTGGTGGCTGCAGGACAAAAATGACTTTGGAAACAAATGTGACCAGCTGAGATTTTGCTATGGAATTTGAAATAAATGTATGAACTCCTCAGTTGGTTTTAGTTTCATTTTTTTTACCATTGTGGCATTTCTTTTTTATATTAAAGTGAAGGAATGTATTTCCCCATTGCCAGGGAAAGACAGCTTCAGTATTTTTAAAATGCTCTTTTCAGATTTAGTCTTGGTTTCTACAATCTACTGGGGGTTTTGCTAGACAATAAACAAAGTGGGACTGATTCCTTGGGAAATAAAATATACAAAACTGATTTAGTGCTGGTTTCCAAGACTTGTTTATAAGAAGTTTCCTGAAGCAAACTGGTATTTCAAAACCTGGTCCCGAAATGTATATTCATCTCTGAGATGAAAAGAAAAGATTCTGGAGCAAATAATCCACCACTAAGATGCAGCCAAGGGAATATATTTATGGCAAAAATGATGGCTTAGCAAAACACTTCATTATAACAGGAAGAAGAATCAGACAGGGTTTGAGACAAATAAATGCAGGCAACCCTCAGTCCTGATGTGCAAAGGCAAAGTTCTGTGTGAGGGACACTGAGACTAAATGAGTTTATGCTCAAAAATGTTACAACTCTCCTGCAAATCAGTGAGAGGACTCACAAAGCCAGACATGGGATCTTGATTGTGTCCTGATTGACTGCAACCATCCTTCTGGAAAAGGCACAAGAGGTCTTTTCAGGGGAGTCCCACGTCATCTTGGAAAACTGGGACAGAGCTGACCCGTGGAATAAACAATCCCTTCCCTTTGCATCCCAAATGCTCTCTGACTTACACACTTGGCTTTCCTGATTTGAATCTCAGAGTCTGAGACTAACTTGACATTTTCTGACTACTTTAAGAAGCAAAGAGCAAAAGAAAACAAGAAATGCCCTCAGAAGGGAAGGACATTTTCAGCTGGAAATTTCTGTGTCAGTGCTTCTTGTATTTCTGCCACTCACAGAAAATGTTCCAGCTGTCAATGAGAACAAACAAAAGGCATTCAAAGGCACAAATATTTTGGTTGTAGCAACACCAGGGAGCAGAACTGGCGAGGGAAAGGGTTGTGGAGCAGAATTAACAAGCCGTGAACACCCGCAGAGCCCCATCTGAGGGTTTGTTCAGTTCCAGGGATCAGAATGGATTGAAGCTGGTGTATTCTCAGAGACAATAAATATAACTCACTGCATCATTTTAAAAACAGTTAAAGGAAAGAGAGAAAGCACTGCATTGAACTTGTCTGCACCAGAACAAAAGCAGAACACAGTTACCTGAGATTCTCATCCCTACACTTCCAGCCATTTAAAAATGACAGAGTAGCTAATTATACCATTAGGTTTCTTTTTTTTATCTGCTCATTTGGCTTCTCACTTGAATATGTCATCACCTGAACAGTGTGAAATTTTGAGGCATTATAGAAAAGTAAACTTTACTGTGCTTTTGCTTTCTGTTGCCAGCCAGTTCGAGCACTACCTATG